TTACTGTGTAGACAGCATTGTCCTCTGAGTTTGGGGTGAGGGAGGCTGGGAAGTGAAAGGACAAAGAAAATGAGAACACCAAGTTTTGTCCTGCAACCTCCTTTTTAGTTTGTTTTGCTCTCTCATTTTTTTTCTTCCCTGTTTGAATTCAGTTTGTGACTGTGAGTGAATCTGTCACCTTCTAATGAGAGACTCTTGCTGCTTAGGGCACAGCAAGCTATTTTTCTTGTGCACTAAACCTGACAAATGATGGTTTCTTGGATCTTGTGAGGAGTAAAAACATTTGCAAACATTAATGGGAAATACCTAAACATAGAAACATCCCTCTTCAGTGAAGGTTTCTGCGACTGAAAACAGAGGCCCTGATGTAACTCTGTTGCCTTCAGCAAGGTTATGACAACAGTGGCTTCAGCTCTGGCTCATTATAAGCCATCATACTAGAAAAAACTTCCTCATTGCTGTCGCAGCCCCTTTGTAGCATGTTCCTAAGGGCGGCGTTTGCACCAAGTGCTGCACGCCTTGCTGGCGCTGCTCTCCCACGGCGTGGGCTCACAGCCGCTGCCCTGTGCGAATAGCAGTGCTGTGAGTAATTTGGATTTCCTCCTGCCTGGGATGAGTGTGGGTTTCTGCAGCTGTGTGAAGCCTGTGGAGAAGCCTGACTAAAGTCATCTGTGACGAACGGGCAGTTGGAGCTTTGAGTTGCCAGGAGGAAGAGCTGGCCCTGTGATCCCCTTCCCAAAGTCCCTCTTTGCAGTTGATTTGTGAAGGCCCTGGTGCCATCACGGTCTGAGGCTTTTACTTGCGGGATGCTGACCGTTACCCAGCTGCTTCAGACACTGCTGTTTCTGGGTTCCTGCTGGGTCAGGGAAATGCCTCACGATGGAGGTGTGAGGTAGTCTCATTTTTCTCCGCTGGGTCACAAGAGTCATCATAGATATGTACAGTTTTGAAGTGAAAAACCTTTTTTTTTTTTTTTTAAGCCAGCATAGGGAGCTTTTACCACCCTGAAACAGCAAATCCCATCCTATGGATATCACCAATGTCACTAATGGATCAGTACAGACCCCCATGATAAAGCCCAACCATGGCTGTTTCTGGTGACTATTAATAAAGCTGGAAACCCCAAAAACTCCACTAATTTTTCTTTATTTTGCCTTAGACTTGTTTTCTTGGTGCTCTCCTGAAAATTTGAATGCTGGTTACAAGGTTGTCAAGTCCTTCAAAACTAAAATCTTTGACATGTGAACTGGCAATCTAATTTTCCTGGGGATGCCTGCTGCTTGCATCTTTCTTAGGCTGTACCATTGTCACAGCAGGGAGGTGTTACATGTCCTGATTTTTTTTCTTTCCTGTTTCAGTGGAGACGAAGCAGAGCCTACTTTAGAGAACACAGTGCTTATTTAGTCTGTCAAAGAGTGGCAGATTTTGGATTTCTTCACTCTAGGAGATGAGTCTTTAACTCTGCCCTAGACTACTCTTGCGTTACCCTAATTGCAGTAGAAAATATGAACCTCTGCTTGGACTAAAGTGTTTCAGTGCTGAAGTCTCCTGGTGTCACCAGGAGAGAAGACAGGATGCCATCCCTCCTTGATGGGTCCACATGGCACATCATGAGCAAGAGCTAGGATTTGATGCATGCAGAGAGAATAAGAGAATCAGCTTATATGTAACATGAAGAACTATAGAGCAAGGATGGCTCATGGCAGAAACTGCTATAGGTGCTGTGTGCCTCTCTGCTTCAGGGAGCAAGGGGCACTTGTGACCCCTGTCAGATGTTCAGAAGTGCTCCTGCAGCTGGGCTTGAGGCAAATACCTGGTTTGGGTAGGTTCATGCCTGTGGCCAAGGAAACTTAATTCTTTTGTTTGGAGACTAGTGCCTTGACAACAAAGTGCTAAGCATTTCATCGTATGTTTATCTTGCTGCTTTTGTAAGATGAATCTTTGCCAAAACTGAAGAGTATGTACAAGCATGATACACAAAATAGTTCACAATAGTCTGCAAATGCACATGAAAATCCGAATGCCTTCTCAATCTGCTGGGCTTTGCACTTTCAGTTCTTGCTGCTTTCAGTCTCTTTGTTTCTTTTCTTTCAAAGCTGCTGCTGAGGCCTCTGAAAGGCCAAAAAGTGCTAATTTTGTAAAAGGCTCTTGTGTGAAGCACAAACCTCTAGCTTGAGGTCCAACTGTGTCATGCTTGCTTCATTTTCCATCTTATGAGACTACCAAGTGTTATGCTCAACCTGCCCACGACTGCTGGGCTCCTGTTGCATCTCTGCTTCTGAAATCCAATGTTTCTTAAGTTTGCAATTTTTTTAGAAATGTCGCTTCCTCCTTGTGACCACCAAGTGGTGCTCTGCGCTGCACCTTGCAGCAAGGCAAGCTGTTGGCATTTTGGGATGGGGGCTTAAAAAGCTGTTTTCAGAAGCAGGAAGGAGCTAGAGAGGAGAAGGGAAGAAGTCAAGAGTCCTTTCCTTCCTCCTCACTGTGGCTGTGCTACAAGGACTACATTATTCACATCTTTATGCTGTGCCTGCGTGATGATTGATGTAGCTTGGTGATGATCGGATGTGATAAGTAGTCTTGGCACTTTCAATTTGGGTGTTCAGCTTGGCTGCCTGCTAGACTTTGGAGGTACAGAGATGGCTCTCTGCTGCTTCAAAACTAGACCCTGGCAGGTGTCTCTGATTTAGCTTGCTAAAATCACAAGAAGCTTATAAAACCTTTGTCCCAAACTAGTTTTTCTGAGATAAATATCAGATCCTGTTTTTTTCTTGGCTGCTTTTTCACCCAGTCCATCTAGGGAAAACCTCTGTTCATATTCCTCCTCTCTGGTCTGCTACCCGTTTACTGTCTTTGCTATTAAAGTTTGGAAATGTTTATAGCTGTGTTGCTCTCAGCAGAGGCAAAAAACCTACATTAACTTGTCTTTGCAGGTTTCCTGCAAGCACTCTCCAGGTGCCATTCTCAGGTTTACAGAAACTCTGTATTTTGTATGAAAATATGCGGTTTGATAGAGAAAATTCTTATGTTGATTTGAAATGATGGGCACATTATAAGACAGAAACTGCCTATAAAATGTAATGGGAATTTAAGGGGCTAACTACATCCCTGTAAGCTCCATTAGATGCTCTGCGTGGTATAACTGTTTGTGGGAGTGATCATTTCTTTCCAGGTACTGAAAGCCATGCGATAGCAGGATGATGCAGCTAAATTCAAACAGCAGCTCATTTGTATGAAATACAGGGCTAGAATTGAAAGGTGGCAAGAGGGATTGTTTTGTCTGGTGAGCTGGAACAAACATGTGGTGTTTTAAAGCAAATCCTTGAATTAGAAGGAAAGGAGATGCCATGTAACAGCACAGCAAATGCTGTGGTTTTATAATGTGCACTGATTTCTCTAGGTATCCCGATCTGTGAAGTAGAGGGCAGAGGAAGGATGCCAGCTGCCCCCAGTCAATTCAAGTTGGATAGCCACCAACTAAATAGCTTTCCCAAAGTTCCCCAGTTTGTTTCTCAGGTGTTTTGTGGAACAGCTGTGCTGGAGTGCCATTGCATCCTGCAGCAGAAAACAGAAGAGTAAAGCATCACCTGCTTTACTTACAGCAGGTATGATATGTCCAGCCCCTCAGGTGTCCTACCTCAGCTGCTCCATCTTATTGCAGTGTCTGTAACCTGTATGAGGTACAACTCCAACAGAAATAAAGGGATATCTAGATAACAAATGTTGATTTTGCTGGATTGTTAGTTTTTAACATGGTCTTAGACTCCCAGTTAAACCAGCTGTTCAGATGCAGGGTGATGGGCTCTCCCAGTCTGAGTACATCAGGAGGGATGAGCAGAGCTTCATGTAAATTAGATAACGTGCATAAATAGTATGTTTTAGTTTTTTTGCTTTGAAAAACTAATCATAAGAAATTCAAAATGTGTCATTATTCCAGATGCAATCTTTTCATGGTGGGTAGCTCCATTAGTAGCTATTAAACAGCTTGGATACAAATTCTGGCTCAGGAAGTCCTCAAGTCTTTGATAACTAAAAGGTGGGAAGAGAGAGTGTGGGAAGACTGGCTCGGTGTGTGCCCTGCTCTAGTCTTTCTTCTGCATCTGCGGCTAGTTGTGTTCTGAAACAGGATGCGGGCAGAAGGAGCCTTTGGTGTGATCCAGTATGGTGGTTCTTGTGTTGCCATTTTAGATTCTGAAATATGGCTTGAGTATTTATCTCTCCATATGTTAGCGTACAGTCAGCTTTGGAATAAGATGGGTATCTGCTCTAGTGGAGAATCCACAGGGATTTCCTTGGTGTCACGTTTATCTGCTCTCACGTGAAGTATTGGCTGTGCTGCCTTCTTTTCAGTACTGAGTTAGGTCTTCCTTGGTCATACCTTTGTCTGGTGTAAATCTGTTGCGACAGGAGTGCCAATATAAACCTGCTGAGGATCCTGCTGAGGTTCACTACCGTCACTGCTCTTCTCCCACACCCAAGAGCTGATCTGCCAGCATACCTCAAAGTGAGATGCTTTTGCTGGAGGAGCATAGCAGTCTAATTGGGCTGGAAAGCGATGTCCTTCCCAGAGCTGTGAAAGGCCTAATAAACATTAAAAATAGAGCCAACTTATTGCTACCTCCAAGACTGGAAATCAGGGAAATGGTTCTCACTTGAGCTGAAAGCAGAGAGTTGAGCAGAGAGCACCATAGTTAGATATACTCAGGTATTTGTACACATGCACCTCCTTGCTTGTACTCTGCTATTAGGAAGCAAACTATTTCCCACTAATGTATTTGACGGTCTAAGACAACATCTCATTGTTACTTAGCAACTTCACATGGTGGTGAGCTCTTTCAAATTAAGCCCTTTGGGTGTCTTTCCTGTTAGAAAACTTCATTCATCTGGTCTGCCTTTGGAGAAGTGGTATCAGGTGACTGTCTTGGTGCTCACCTATAGAGATGTATAAACTTTGTCTTCTGGGATCTTTCCTGATGTTGCTTTTGTGTTTCCTTGGCCAGAGGGTGAGGAAGAGGAAGAGGATGAAGAGGAAGAGGAGGAAGAAGAGGAGGAAGAGGAAGATGAGGAGGACAAAGACATAGATTCGATGGATGAAAGCATGGAGGGTGACACAGAGCTGCCAGGTTTCACGCTTCCAGGCGAGACCTCCCAGGAGCCCATGGCTGGTCTGGAAAACCCTGTGGCCCAGCTGGCTGGGGTGTCCTACCAGGTTCCTGACACCATCGAGTGGGAGCAGCAGAACCAGGGTCTGGGTAAGAGAAAAAGCCCTTTCTTCCTTTACCCTTACAGATGACATGTCTCCTGCTCTTACCTCATGCCAAGAAGTCTCACAGGTTGGCTCTCAAGCTAAACGCAGAGCAGGTTCATTTCTGAGGAAGCCCTGTCCACCGGTGATGACTGGTCAAACTGGGATGGTTCCCAGGCAGTGTGACCTGAGTTTTCGTTTTGAGGAGAGCTGCTCTGAATACTCCAGACCTGCTCCTTCATTCCCAGAGCTTAGTGTTGTCTTGCTCCAAGGGTGGACAAATAACTAACTTCTCAGTTACATAATGGAATATAAGTTATGTGAGTTATATAAGGGAAACCTCAATTCCATTTGCCCAAGATGGGTTGGTGCAGGGATATACGTCCTGTGAGGACAAAGTGAATAGCCTAGTTGGGTAGTTGATCATCAGCCCATTTGCTACTTCTGCAGTATTTTTGTAAGTGCCACTTTTCTGGGATTTTTAAGGAGCGTATGGCCCAGGCACAGGACCCCAAGCTGGCAGTGTTAAGCAAGACAAACTTGCAAAGCCTCTATAAACCTGTATCCAGTTTATTCCCACTGTATGTATAGGCCCTGTGTTTAATGACTGGAAAATTTATTCCACCTAGGAATAGCTTATCAGTGTTTATATGTGTGATGTCCATCTGATGCAATTCAAAGCTGGTGTGGGACAAGGTAGAGTTTAGAAGGGAACTTGCCTAGCTTGGCTAAGGGCACTGGGATCGTTTCCCAGCATACTTAATTTCCAAGCTAAACCCCATCAAAAGCAGTGGGAACCTTTCAGGTGAATTGGTGGGAGCTGAACCATGTCTATACAGAAGGTCTTTGTCTGTTAGGGAACTAGCTGTTTTGAGAAGCTCATCAAATAAAGAAACTCCAAAACTCTTTTATATGTCGTGTTATAAGAACTATCACTTCCCATGAATGTTCAATTCTGATTTAACCTGGCGGTTCTGTGATGCTGTTTCCAGCCTGCTTCAGTGTTGTTGGCTTCCTTTGAATTGAATCAAAGAGCACATTTCAAGAACTCCATGGGAGGGTTGCTTTTTGAGAGCAGATTGAGTTTGCATCAGGTCTGATACCTCCTCGTCCCACTAACTCTTTCTTGAAAAATGTTGTATTGGATGGTTTCCATGTCAGATCTGTTTCACGTGTCCTGTATCCCATCAGGCTGGACAGGAGGGGGGTGTGTGTGTGGAATAATTGTAAGTGTTTAATGGCTTTGCAGTTGGCTTTGGCAAGCTGGATTAAAGAGGCACGTGACAGTGCTCGGAGGAAAAGCGTAAGAAACATAGAGCTGGCTTGGTGAGCTCTGTACAACTGCTAGCAATAGTAGAGAAGGTAGCATTAAACTGTTGACCATCTAAAACTATTTGCCTGATTCAGGATCATAAGTACCAGGATGGATGGCTTGGCAGAGCTTTGCCTCTAAATCAGTCAGCCCTGGCTAAGGGTGCCAGCGCTTTGGAATGTGTTCAAGAGAGGCAGCGTTTTGCAAACTCTGAGGTGTGTCCCCACACACCAGACATCACATTGTGCAGCGTGGAGGAAGATAGCAGTGATACTTGGTACATTAACCATCCCAGCTAGGGTGGCTGATGCAGTGTCATCTGGCTTGGGCTCTGACAGGAGCCCTGTTCCCAGAACGGGGTGCAGGGCAATGGCTCGTTTGTCTGGAAGGGTGTCTAGAGACTGCTGAAGATGCTGTTGTATATGACATAGGCTGTTGCCATGAACTTTGGGGCTATGGAGGAGGCTGTTCTGCATAAGTTATTGGGCACAGTTCTAGTCATAGCTGATGCAGGTCTGAACTAGAGTCACGGCTGCATTTCCAGCCCTACCACCTTCACTGCTGGAGGAAGAGGCTCGGGGTAGGAGATGCATATCAGATGCATTGCTAAAATCAGGCAAGTGAGAAAGCAGTGACCAGAGGATGAAGCTCTCCCTGGTGTGCAGTAAACCTCTCTAGCTGGAGAAGCTGTAATAATAATGCACAAAAAATTAGCAAGCCTGGGCTATGAAACAATATGTAGGTTTAACACTCCTCGTGTAATAGCACCTGTTATGAGGGGCCCTTGCCCTAGCACAGGACTACACTGGACAGTACACTTTGCAGCGTCTCTTCCAGAGGTCTGCTTCTGAGCATGTGGGCCCAGTTCCATTTCTGATGTTTTATATTGCATCATCCTGCACCCTTCATCCTCTACCACCTTCTCTCTTTCTTAGACCTTGGAAGGACCATTTTTCCAAATATTTCAGACATGGAATAAATTGACTGTGTAGCAGAAGGCAGGATTTTTGTCCTTAACTTATGTTCTACTGACCCTCATGCAAATTGGAAGAGCCCCCTGGGAAGTCTGTCAGGTTGGGTCAGATGCAGAGCGCTGAGTCCGGGCACCTGAAGAACTCAGTGGACATGAATTTCTGCATTCTCTGGAAGTGCCTGGCTGGCTTATGTGTCACCAGATCCGAATGGTTTGGATTGCCTTTTATTTTTGTCTGTTGCAGTCTGTGCTAGCAGCCATGAGAGAGAGGATGAAGCTGTGGCTGAGTTGAGTTCATCTTTAGGAGTTAGATGGGACTTCTGTGCAGTGATGTTATAGGCAAGAAAAGAGGGGATGTGGTGGCATCAGTCTCTCTCACCCCTCTTATTCCGCCAGGTGAACACTTATGTAAAGAGCCATTTATTCTTTTTTCTGTCTAGACGACCTTAATGGCTCTTTGATATTGCTTCCTTCCCCATCTGCAATGTGCTGATGCCCACAACGCTCCTGAGAGGAAGGGAAATTATTCATGTTTCAGAAGCACAAAAAACCACAAGGACTTGCGTGAGCTCACATCAAAAATCTGAGGCCAAGCAAGGAGTTGAACCCAAGTGTTCGAAGGGCTTGTTTTCTGGGAGTGCGTGGGGAATGGCATCTTCGTGGCAGTGCTGGGCTCCTTTTCCCTGCAATGCTGCTGCAGTAGTGTAGCCCTTCCCCTCTTCCCAGTTTGTTGGAGTTTCTGCCCTGGTTTCCCAGCCCTGGGTGTGTGGACACATGTTGGGCTACTGTTGTGTCCATACCTGTGTCCGTACTCGGTTCTGGTTATGTGTTTCTTTATGGGGTGTATTAGGGAGAACAGGAAGGGTGGAAGAAGACTATAGCTTGTGTCAGCAGGAGGAGAATTGTTAAGAACAGAAGATGTCCCCCAGTCTGGCAGAAGGCCAGAAGAGCTGCCCATGTTGTTCTGCTGGAGCGCCTGGAGAGACCAGACTCACCATGAAGGGCTCGTAAAGCTTTAGATCTGCTGGACGTGCACATGGACTATTTCGCTTTGAAACTCTTTTTCTCTAAGTGCTTTTCATCTAAAGCTACCTCTTTGAAATCCATTTCCTTTAAGTGCTTTTCTTCTAAAGCTAAAATTAACTTGACTTTAATTTTAAGACGGCTTCGTACCCGCTGTACGCAGCCCCTGGGGTGGGGGAGCTGCAGTTCTGAATGCAGCTGAGTCAGGGGCACTGTGCTCCCACCTGCCTCAGCTCACGGCATCCGTCTTTGTACATCCCGGGGAAGAGCTCTGCGCTTCCTGTCCTTCACCAAAGTGTGATGAGATGTGAAGATTTTCCCATCTTGTGCGAGTGAAATACAGTTTAGAGGGGCGAGCTGTTCTGCTTGACCTGGGATATGGTACAGGAAAGGAAGACTTGAAGAAAGATAACAGTACCCAATGGAGTACAAGATGAGGGTTCTCCATCTAAGCACCAAACTTTTACAGTTGGCATTTTCCATCTTTAAAATATTTTGCACATGGGTTCTTCTCCTGGGGATACATCTGTCCTCTGGCCTCCAGAATTTTGACATTTAATGCTAAAATCTGTAGTACAGAAGAGCCCAGAAGTATTGGAGTAGCTATTCTCAGGTCAGTTATTACTGCGTTTGCTTGGTCTGATGGCTGACACACTGCAAATCCCTAGAGAACGAGTAACTTGATCCACAAACAGCTTGGCAGAGCAAGAGACAGTTTAAATTTTTGTAGTGGCCAATGAGAAAGTGCTGAGGAAACAGAATTATTAAAAATGTCAATTCTGGGAAGTCAGATGGTCCTACATTAACTCCAGCTGAGCAAAAAGCAATTTATATGTGCCAGTAATGAGGCTGTCAGTTTTACAGTCCATCAGCCGACTCTCTAACCAGTAATATTTAGACAAAAAGTAAAGCAGAAATGATGTCATCTGTGCCTTTATAAAATAGAATTTGATCCTCCAAAAGTGGTTCTGATGGCCTGCAGCTCTGGAGAAGGAAGGTCTGAATGTGCTTTGGGGTCTCTTTTGGTGTCCTATTCGAATGCTTTGTTTTCAGAGGTTGCCAGTGAAGGACACGGCAGTACTTTGGGACCTCTCTGCATTGTGTGTGAGATGACTTTGACCTTTGTCTACTTGTTTCTTGATTTGTATGTAGGTGGTGCGTGGTGGGCAAACACTGAACTGCATCAGAGGGGCAGGAAACTTGGGCTTTCTGGGAATGAATAAAAATACATAATTTTTCCCTGCTACCTCTTTTGTGATTAAGTGTTTATGCGTTACAAGGAGAACTGCAGTTGGTTTAGATGGGTTCAAACCTAGTGAACAGTTTCTGGGTCCTTTAGTTATTCCTCATGAATGTTAGATGGTCTTTGTTGTATACTTCCATGGAGATCAAGGCCCTCTACTCTGTGTTGGTGGTGGCTACTGTGACTGTGCTCTTCTCCCACTTCTTAAGAATATTCTCCCAGTGTCTGTAAGAATCCTTATTTTACAAACCACGAGCCAAGACATAGCAACTCAGCTTGAACTGGTGTGGGAACTTTGCCGCAGAGCATGAAAATGTCCCCAGGCTCCCAAGCTATTTGTTAATGCCATAGTGCCTGCCTATCATCCACGTCCCAAGATGAAGAACTCCTGCTATCCGTAGTAAGGTAGCAGCTGGAGGTCTAGGGCAATTTAATTTGGCTGCTTTGGAGCATGCA